ATCAGTCCATTCCTGATGAGAAGTCTTGGCAGCACCACAACAGAAATAATTGTAGTTTAGTTACCACTGGCTGAAATACTGGTTTGAGCAGCACAGTGCACGATGGAGCTATTCTAATTACTTTGCATTTTTCTGGGTTGGAAAATGCTGGCAAATTTGACATCTCTCAATAAGTTTTTGCAAATAGAGATTTTGGGAATGTTTCGTATTTTACTGATTACTGAACAAGGCCAAGGAAGCGTCGGAAGCTTGAAGTGGAAAGTGTCTTGATATGCCTTAAGCCCTGTAGCAGAGAGTTCCTGCATTTTGGAGCAAACTTTGAGAATGTTCTTTCTCTTGTGTCACCCTCCTAGACTAAGCCCCTCCTGGGAGATAATTTAATTCTGAAAGAGGAACAGAAGTGCTTTATCTCAAAGTATGTGACAGAGTAAGAGGAGCTTTGAGGCCTAGTTAAAAAGAGAAGCAAGATTTTGAAATAATATTGTGCCCACAAGAAATTAAGTTTTTTGTGCTCCCAGTAATCCACATCCTTTTGGAAAGGCACTACTGTTTTCTGCTGACATGATATTTTCCTCACCACCCAGTTAAATTCATTGTATAGCAATAGGAGCCAAATGCCATGCACAACCAATGTTCATTGTCTATTGTGAGATGCAACTAAATAAAATATAACTTGCTTCTTTCGATAAATAGTAGAAGTTGTTCGTACGATGAAATTACTCCCTTTGCCTTCACACACACACACACATCTGGGGTCAACTGTGTATATTAAGCTCAGAGTACTTTAGAAGCTAAGTAAATTGTTGCATTACTGTTATATGGAGATTTCTTTACCTCAACAATTTAGTGGAGGACAGCATCTGTGAACATTGTCATGAGTATTTGCCAATAAGTGATAAGTCCTGTTCTTGTCTAGAGGAAGATGACATGACATTTTATTCTTGACTATATAGAAAAATAACAAAATTTTACATCTGTAGGCTTTAAAGTTAGGGTCCTTCAAAGATGTAATTAGATGTAGATGTTTAGAAAGAGGTTTAGGAGTTCCCTTCCCCTAGATTAGGCCTAACCCATAATTTAGAGAAATTTCTGTGGCTGGCCATGACAGCAGTTCTGAGTGTTGGCCAAACAGGTTCCACATAGCTGTATGCTTACACCATGCTGGAGTCGAGGAATGAAAGCACAGTCATCGAGGGTATGACTTGAGGCTAAGAAGTTGAAATATGCTATAAAATAGGTAAATACCTATTATCAGAACAGAATGACAATTTTTCATTAGAAGCCTTTTTGCTACGGCTCTGCTGCTGTAGGTCGTGTAAGTAAGGATAGAGCTGCTGTGAGCCAAGTCTACTGAGATACTTTCATAAATGTAAAAAAACAGTGGCTATTTCAGCCTCTGCCACTCAGGAATGAAACATTAACTCATTAGGGAGTTTGCTGAATACTCATTTAATGGCCGGACTGAAGCCTGTGAGAGAAAAGAAAAAAGGATTTAATCTTTAGTAAAACAGCAAACACACTATCATCTGGACATGCACTAGTGAAAGATCATCCCTGTAACTAACTTTGTTTCTTTGAAAACTTTGTTTGCACCCTGAAAACACTGTTTCCATTTTGGGCTGTCTACACAGATACAGTGATTCAAACCAACAGGTTTGTCTACGCAGAATATATTCTCTTGAACCCCAATGGACAAGTCATATTTTCATGGTAAATTTTTTCAGGGTAATATCCTTGATAACATTTAACATATCTAGCTAGGAAGGGTAATTTCAAGCCCTAAGGTAGGATTGTTTTTGTTGAGCGAGTACAATGATTAATTTGGCTGTAATTTAATCAGTTCTCTGTTAATGTTTACTTGACAGATTTTATTAGGTCAAATTTCAGTTTTAATCCTGTCAGTGGCCATAGTCAGAGTCTTATTTCCAATCTCTTTTCAGTACATAGTAAATAACTGGACAAAACTATTGCGAACCTGATTGTTCACCACTTTGCAGCTTACGTTGTCATTTTCGTCAGTTAAAAAAAAAAAAAAATCAGTGAGCGACGCTGTCATTCCAGTTTGGAACATTTTACAGATGATTTTCTTGTGATGCAGTCAGAGAAATATTTGTACAAGGCACTGTGCAGTGCTTGTTCCCAGTTGGGCGTTTCAGTCATGAAACAACTTTTTCCCTTCCCTTTGTGGCTGTCCTAGCTGATTCTTTGCTGAGAAATACTACAAGTATTGAATGATAGATGATTATTGTCCTTTTGGGATGCTCACCTCAGAGACTTTTCCTTCCAATTAGAATAGAAATAGGAAGTGGAAAGCAGTGCCTCAGTCACCTCTGTTCAGTTACATGGAGAACTAGGTCTATATGTTTTGGCAAGGCAAGTGTCACACTTAAAAGGGCTAATGGACTGCACTGCGCTAGACAGTGAAACCAAGTGCTGTAGTATATTTATGTGGACATTTATTTTCTCCTTATTAAGATCAAATTCCTATGGATGGAGTGAGAGCTCATTCTGCATCTGAGTTACCCATGTCACGCAGCCTCGCTCCATCCATAGGAATTTGCTGGCCGGCAATCGGGATTTAATCGAGACTGCAAAATTTTTAAGGCATTTGTTTGTATATACGATGCACCAGATAGATAGGCTTGCAATGCAGCCGGCTCTTTCATCATCAAAGATGTCATGGGCAGAGAAGAGGAAGAAGTTTACCCGGAAATGATATGCTCAAGTGATGCTCGGCTGATAAACAATACCTTGAATTTCAATTGAGACAGTAGCCCAAGGGAGCTATCACTGACATAAACTTCCCGCTATGCTGTGGTCAGCGTCAGAGGATCCTCTCTCAATAGACAGCTCCGTTACACCCAGTACCAAGAATTTCCAGTCTAGAAAAACAAGGGAGGAGGTTTGTATGAGTATGACATCTAATGATGACATACATCACACGCAAAAATGAACAGGAGAAAAACACATTATTACTAGAAGTGGCTGCCCCACAACAGAGTACCCAACAAACACATGTGTCAAGAGGACTAAATCATTGTTTCTTACTGGGTGAAAGCACACTAGCAGAGTGAGCTAAATTTTGAAAGTCTAGGGTTTAGAGAGTCTTTGCCTTTTCCTTTTTAAAATCTGTATTTATTTATAATGCTGGCTTTGTTGTTCTTCAGCCTTTGGTCTTCTTCATCCAGTTCTAGGATAAGAAATAGTTTGGACGGGACTTAGATGTTTATAAAACCATGTTATTTGCCCCTGAGTGATCTTGCTATCGATTAACCAGCAGGTCGTTTAAAGTGTTACTAATTTACAAAACACTGACAACATCTTTGGCTCCACAAAAGATATGCGAGTAAGGACAGTACTGGCGCAAAGCAGTGTGGAGCTTAACATTTGATTTAATTTTCCAATGTAAAGTAAGATTTTTCGAAGTACTTCCAAATAAATATCACCTAGGGGAATAGGAGCTGCAGTACAATACAATTTGTTTTCAGATCACACGCTTATAACACTCAGCAGTGAGCCAGGCAAAACCACACAACCTTAAGCAGAAGTGACAGAGCCAAATAATAATTGTAATAATTATATACTAAGTAGTTAATTGAATAATGCTATTATTTTTTCTCCCTCTGTACTGTTTATTACCCCAAAACAGGACTTAATCTTTGTTTTTCCTGCCACATAGTTTGTGAGAGACCTTAGGACCAAAGGGTATTTTCTCTTTATTTTGATCAATTCTGAAATTTCTCTGCAAAGCGTTGACACTGACTTTCATCATGATCAGGGAGCGTGAATAACTCGTGCTGCTCTGAGTAAGCCTATCCCCTCTAGTAGCAAGGACAGACCGTCCGACCAGCGCTGGGAAGGTGGAAATACCCTTAATTTTATATTTGATTAAATGCAGGAGTTGCTTTTCTGTCTTGAGATTTATGAATGCTGTAGTTTGGAGAGTTTGCTTGCGGAAGAACTGATTCACATGTTTATTTCTGTTCTCCCCAAACTAATGGCTGCCCAACATGACTATGCTCTCGTTGTGCTCCTTTCTATATGGTTTTTGTGTCCTCATCCAGAATTAGGTCCACAGAGTCTTCATTAAGGAAAGAGTTTCAGAGTTCTTATTTTATGGCCCTTTAGCTTTTTTTTTTTATAGGAGAAGTATAGATTCTTTCAGCAGTTTCACAGAGAAATGTATTTTTCTTAATTACCTCTTGAAGGAGAGTGGAAGCCACTATTAAATCACAGTAAAATTTAAGTGCCGAAAATTTGTGCTTTTAATAGGGAAAGGCTTGATGGTAAATTAAACAAGCTATAGCCAGAGCTATGTCCTGACTTCTGCCTCAGAGAGGGCGAGGATGCAGGAAAAGCCACCCATCGTCACCTCCATAAGGAGGGCAGAGTCCGCAGGACATACTATTCTCCATATTGCCATTAACACTTAATATTAGACAATGGGCAGACTGAACCTCATGTCAAACTTTCTATACACGTTATGGTTGTCTCCTCCCAGTCCTTTGCATCCATATATACCTGCTGCTTCCTGTTCCTTACTGTTCTCTGTTGGTACTGGCATACTTTGCAGCTTTATATGTAGAGCATCAAATACTGAGAGATACTGATTCTTGATCATATGTGTCCATCAACATGGTGATATAAACACACATGAATTTTTTTTACAATGGAGAAAAGGTATGGTGCATCTATTCCAAATGTCTTTTTTTGTTTTTAATTACTAAGGATGTAATCCCTTTATGTCACATATATAATTTATTAAGTATGTTTCATATAGCAAAATCTTTTGTGAAAGTAAATATTACCCAATTTGGAAGTAAAAATCCCCAAAGAAAACCAAGGTTAGCAGGAACTGTGTTATGATCCTAGAAAGACATGCTCTAAGACTGCAGTTATCTCACCAGCATACTCCATGCTGGTTGCATATATTTATAAAAGACACCAATGAGTCATATGTAAACATTTTGATTATAAAGATTTTCTTCATTTTCCCACAGACTTACTGCTTTCAAACAGCTGCATCCCATTCCTGGGCTCAACAGAGGGGCTTGATTTTCGAACCCTGCTGCTAGATGAGGAGAGAGGCCGGCTGCTAATCGGGGCTAAAGACCACATCTTCCTGCTCAACTTGGTTGATTTAAACAAAAATGTAAAAAAGGTCAGTCTGTTTTCCACAGATTTCGTCTGATAATTTCAGTTTTGGCCCTTCTTCTCCATTTTTTTTTCTTTTTTGCTTCATTGGGTAACTGATAGATTCACTGCGCAAAGCGTTGTACTAGGACTTCATAATCTCACCTCCCGTTGTTACATGGATTATCTTTAATAAACTGAAGTTCTCATGGTATGTGACCTCCTGTAAGACTGAAGTCCTGCAACAGGCAATCCACCTTTACCTTGTGGGTACCTCTGCATGAAATCCAAACATCAGCAAACAGGCTGATGTCACTCAGTGTTTGTTTATTACTTTATCTTGTGCCACGGACACCCTCCTCAGACGAGAGCATTTGGAAGAAGATAACTCAGGACAAGTCTTTCCTTGCTTGCTGGCATCACTGGGTTTACATTACGGTGATACTACTCAGCGCAGAGGCAATTTTGATGGTTCAAATTATAATAAGTATGTTAGTGGCAATTTTAGTGTTAACATTTGTATTAATATTTAGAATTAGTACTGATAGGAGAAGCTTCCACTGGGATCTACTACAGCTTTCCCTTGCCTGTGCTCTGTGACAAGTTAACTCTGGATAATAGAATGGCAATTTACCCTTCAGTATTTCTAGTAGATATGATGAACTGGAGCTTTTGCGAACACAACTGACTGCTATATATAAAAAACAGATGCCTGTGTAGGAACACACAGGAAAACTGCTTTCCTGGTTGTTACAGATATGCTACTTATTGGAGAAAATTTAAATTCTCAGCTGTGTTTTATATATTCTTTAAGCACAGGCAGGTTTTGAATGACTGCATTCTGCTGTCGGTTCTAAAGTGTAACTGAGCCTGAATTAACATGACTGAAGCCCAGGGACTTAGCAGGTGTAACAGGAGAGAACTTTGCTCCGCATATTTGAATGCAGCACATGCTGCCACTATATTGAACAGTTTCTAGTAGCGAACTGAATATCTTATTTCCTTTTTTGACTTCTGCAAAGGACGTTTCTTCCCTAGAAAGCTTTATCAAATGGTTAACGTGCATCTTCCAGCTTAGTAGTTTGTTCAGAAAATGTCACCTTCTCAGCGTATTTTAGTGATAACTGCATTATGCATAGTTCAGATTTTCAGGCTATGGATTGATTTCTGGCATAGGCTTTCTGTAGAAAACAAATTTTGTGTGTGTGAAAAGCAGGTTTCTCTTTCTGTGGGGTGCTGCTTTCCTCCTGAGAGATGCTGAGAGCCGTCACCTCCCATCATGTTCAGCAGGGAGGCGTCAGCACCTTGTGCGACCAGACCCGCTGTTCAAGCCGGTTACATTCACTCTCGCCAGACCACCACTGATTATTGCGGACGTCGTGCTTTTTAAGAAGCACAGAACACAGCTGACGCTAAGAGAATTAAAGTGAAATCAGTCAATGCAGATATTACAGGACAAAAATTGTATATTGGAATGAGAATTTGCATTTGGCAAACTGAATAGAGAGTGTGTGCCTAGATACCTTGTATCTGAACTAAAGAAGGGGGTGTTTGGAGGTTCAAATATATTTCCTTCTGCCTACTTCTCAGTTTAACTGTCCCGGTTGTCTTTAAGATAAGACATTGAGGCAAGTGACCTTTAAACAGCTAAAACAGACTCGAAAGCTTTGCAGCGCATCACGGTGTGCTGAGGTCCACGGTCTCTGTGGCTAAGCAACAGCTTCATAAATTTGCCCTCTTGGGTGACACGAGACAATATGGCACAAACGGTGCTCTCGGGTTCGCGTTTTGGGCTGGTTGAAAGATGTTAGCGAGGGAAGAGATGGGCTGCAGGAAGCTGCGCGAGGGGCTGCAGATCAGTCACGGTGGCTTGGGGGCTGCAGGGCAGCGCCGGTAGCAGCGCAGCATCAGGACGCGGCGTTCGCCTGCGCTGTGTTTAGACTGACCATGGTTTGGCTTGGCACCGGGCCAGGCGGCTCGTTTCCAGGCTTTCCCGGTACGAGGAAACCACACATGTCGGGACGGCAGGGGTCTGAAGTGTGTCCTTTGTACTCCTTGGAATAAGAGGCGTCGGGAAAAAAAGAATATATATATATACATATATATATATATAGGATTATATGTAGCCACTGAAGATAGAAGCAGTTAATTAGAATATTAAATTTCTTCCTATAAATGAGAGGTTTGTTAATGACTCTGATGAAGGAGGGTTAAAAGAGTGAGCTGAGGGGGTGAGGTAGATGTTACAGCTTTGAAACTAGAATGAAAACTTGTGCAAAGTTTTGGGTTTTCTTTTCTTTCTTTGAAAGCAAAGTGAGCGTTACCAGTGTAATACTGTGTGATGGGTGGATGCAGAGAGGTTTAAAGAAGCTCTCAGTTTCAGAGATTTGTTGTATTAGGATACTACTGATGCACCTAAAAAGTGAAGTCTAAATCTCAAACAATTTACTGTCAGAATATCCCTTTCTGTGGATGCAATCACCAGGTAGAACTATATTGTAGAGTGTGACGTTGTATATTCAGATATTTCTGCAATAATATTTTAAAAAACATGCAGAGCATCGTATCCTGTTCTCTTCTATAATATAATGATACATATATCTTTATATATATATATATATCATTTAATAACTTCCTTTTTATAACCTAATCATTTACCTAACTTAGTTAATTTAACTTACCTCTATTAGGTTATGGTTTTATTTCCTGGTGTATTTTTTCCTAATGAAATAAATCAACAGCTCTTCTTGAGTTCACATTTTCTTAAATCATTGTAATTTTTATTCAATATATTGTATAATTAGTGGAAAACTTCCTTAGTTGGCAGCTTGAAAAAATCCTCCCGGTTTCCACTGCAGTGCTTGCAAACCTTATTATAAAACAACAGCAATTACCATAGCCTAAAACAGAAAAGTCCTCCCAAAGGAGACAAGGATGCGGAGGACTAAAATGCTAGCAGTCTACAAATATCTAATGCTTAAAAGCAGATAGATAGTCATTTTTCTGTAGCAAGAATATAATTTCTGTGAACTTATACTGAAAAGAAGCCTACAGCTCCTGTTGTCAGGACAGAAGAATCTGTAGCGCAGCTTTCCCCTGAAAGATCCTGAGATACCTGACAAGCATTGCAAGCTATTTATGAACAGGAGGACGTGTGGTTCAGTCTTATGAATAAAATACAGAAAAGAAGTATATTCAGGGAAAGACGGCACAAAAGAGCAGCAGTTCGTATTTGTCACAGCATTCCAAATATAGACAGTAGAGTTGAAGACAACTATGTCATAACCAGTAGAAGTGCAGCTTAAAAAGAAACATATTTAATAGCATTAGCAGATGGAGAAGCAATTCTCTAGGAATTCTCCTAAGAGCCTACCAGCGCGATGACTTTGGTACTCTAGAATTTTCCTATCGGTTTGCCTGAAGTCTTTGCTGTTTTCCTATTTGAAACCTAAACACAGGCGACAGGCAGAACGCGCTCAGCTGGGTAAACGCTTACGGAAGAGCCGCAAAGAAATTCCCCGCCTCCTGCGCAGCTGCCGCGCTTGCCAACGACGCAGGCAGGGCCGTGTGTCAGCGCTGTTATCGCGGTGCGATGCGATCGGCAGCGCGACCCGCCCGTCTCCGCAGGAGCCGGCGTGCTATCAAGGGCCGACAAGCTCTTGAAAAGCTGCCAACCTGCAGGAGCTGTCAGTGCGGGGAGACACAGCCACATGTGGGCCAAATAGATAAACATGTCAGATCCCAAGAGCAGCTTTGCTACAACTTGTTTTCATCTGCCCGGTGCGTACTGGCACCAGGTCACAAATTATTGTCGCTCGGAGCATCCTTAATCTGCAATTGTTGCTATGTTTTTGGCATTGCCAGGTGCAACTGTCTTATGACTCATGCTTTGATTTCCTCTTAGATTACTTTAACTGTGTGTATTTCGCAGTGAAAAGAGTATGTGTGTATAGACACAAATCTATGCATACAAACATGCAAACATATATATATATACGTATACGTATATATAATTCCATTTTTTACATTGACCCTCATGAGTTAGGAGCCCAGTTTTTCCTTCCTTGCCCTCAGAAACCTGCCGTCAGTCCATGTACGTGTTATCTCAATTAGGACTGAGCACAGTGGGAATTTAGCCAGCTGTGAAGCGACACTTTGGTTTTGCCGTCAAGCCAGAGCCTCAAGGAATATATACAAAATCTGAAATGCTTTTTGTAGCCCTGAAACCCAGTAACACCACGACTGATCCGTCCTTACTGAATACCCGCTTCTTGTCCTATACCTTAAAAGAATTTAGCTTTCTACCTCTTAGGAAAAGATGTAGAGGAGTCTAAGGATGAAATTTTGAGGAGAAGAGGCTTGCTTTCCCCATCAGGAGAAAAAGGCTTCCAAGGGGATGTGAGCAGAGGCCAAAGAATCAAGCGGAAGAAGCCTTTGAAGATTTCTGCAGTCCTGGAAGTGAAGACATGAGGATTGGAAAGCTCTGGATAAACAGTCTAAAACAAGCCGAGTGGCACTCATGAGTCCACCCGGGTTTACGTTGGTTTGTCCCGCATCTTCGTTAGTAAAGAAAGTTCTGAGGAAAGAATTAGGGTGAGGCTGGTTTTTGGCAGGGGCTCTTCCTGGCATGGAGAATTCGTTTACAGGGTGTTGTCTGCGCACCAATGGCCATGATTTTGGCGCAAAAGGATCTCTTCGTGTTGTCGGAGTGCGTCGGGTACTCGTTCCCGTCTGTTTTACAGTATTTCTCTTCCTTCCAGAATTCACAGAAATACAAACCATCTTACTTGTCATTTACAACAAAACAAAACTGGTTCTAGCAGGTGATCTGGCAGCAGATATCGAAGGAAGAGCAGAAGTTACAATGCTCCTTCAGGTGAGGGCCGCCCGAGACGGAGGGGATAACTTTGTGCTTGATGGACCTTGGAGCGTTCTTGCTGCTGGGCTGCTAACTGCTGTTTTGAACCTGCGGAGGCCTTTGGAGTCCACAACATTGTTTGACAAACCTGAATTTGGACACCTGCATAG